AAAGCATAAACAAAAATCTAAGAACACAATAATACAAATACAAAAATCACGAAATTAAATCACGAAATTAAATCACGAAATTAAAAAAAATGGTTTAACTAAATATAATAATATATTATATTCAAATAGTAAAAACATAAACAAAACTACAAAAGTAATTAAAAAGAAATTGGCATATACAAAAGTAAGGTGATAGAAAATAAGCGTCATACATTTTTGACTCATTTTTTAGGTTTTATCTATTTATTAATGAAAAACACGAAACATCTAGTAGTACGCCTTTTTAGAGCCAACCGTCTCACCGCTTTGGGCCACGTATCAATCAACCAAGGCGTACGCTCCAAAACAGCCCCTAAGAGGCGCTGCCTCATATACATTTTGTGGATGCCTCCCATGTTTTTTTAAAACCATGATATGACACATTTTACCTGATGGTAGTGAGCACCAAATAAGCATATATTATTTTGCTTCTCATGACATACACACATATATACATACACACACACACATGGATCCTTTGCATTTAATTGTTTCCGTTCTTATAAATTAAAATAAAAGATATGTAGGATATTAAGTAAAACAAGAGCAAATAATTATCACTTATTATATATTGATGACATATTATTGTATATGTTACATTAGTAATAACATAAAACAAGAGAAAGTAATTAACATTTATTGTTTATTTAAAACATACTATTGTCATTTACCGTATTCTTCAAACAAATAATCATCATTAACTATATTTTTAATACGAATATTTGTTATAAGTATATTCTCAATTCCAATATTTGTCATTTACAAAACTATTAATATAAATAATTGTCATTTATTGTATTTTAAAGTTATAGCTAAATGGAATATATATATATATATATATATATATAGTAGTCGTACTTGTAATTATTCAATTAGTCTTTTCATATGATCTTTTTTATCACCTACAGTTTTCTTTGCACTACAATAGCTTTTATAGACGCTTTGCATCTTGCTTCAACTCTGGAATCGTAGTGTGCAACGGAAGCATACCATTCTCCTTCTTCCAAAAGTCATTCTATTCATTATCCAGGTAAGCTTCTAACTAAATGATATTTGTTATCACTTCCATAGGAATAATTTTCTTCCAACTTTATTTGAGTTCTTATATACATGAGTTCGTCGTCCTTAATCTATAATATTTTATTCATATGCCTACTAAATCTTCATAATACAATTTATGCTGAATCATAAACCTTTAGGTGGTTGTGCTTCCATTTGGACCATTTTGGAAATTAAGTCCTAACTTCATGCATATACATAATATTTCCTATAAACTTACTTTCATTCCTATAAATATACTTACTATAGTTTTTTTGTTCTTTTTTTTACCAGATATCAGTGAATCAACCTTTGCAAAATTTTGAGAAGGTAGTCGTCAACAATTCGTCTTCCACGTTATCTTCAATCTATTCATGCATAAAACCACAAACATGATTGTCTTCCAAACCTCTACATTTTATACTTAAGTTCACACATTTTTAAGACGACCTTTGCATTCTAGATTGTATTTACCCATTATGTTGTTAACACTTAATATTGAGATTCAAAAGGGTAGATGAAATGTTATATATTGATGATAGAAATCTCGAGCAATAAAAACACTCTTTATATTTACAATGGTTTGAATAACTTTTAACATTAACTTTTATTTAATGATTACGTGAATATGTTAGTTTTTCTTATAATTATACAAGCTTTAATCTATTCCACTAATTTTTAAATCCAATACTCTCTTCCAAGGCGTACCCTGACATAAAATGGAACTGTTTGACGCGTTAATTCAAGATACTGTACGTTTACCGGAGTCACAAGAGCATGTTCACAACCTTTAAAAGTTGTTCACGTGTATTTGTCGTCATCATAAAAAGCATAAGCGACAATTGGAAAAAGACCAACCGAGCTCTTCAAATGGAATGATGGGCAACAACTTACGATTTGTTAGAGGCAGAATTAGAAAGCATACACGACTGAATCGCAAGTTAATCCTCATTCATAACAAGTACATACATCGTGATTTGTACATAACTCTTCGGAGTCTTTCGCAAACTTTGAACTTTTTTTCAAATTCAACCACCTACACCAACATCAAATATCTTGTTGAAAACTGAGGTAAACCACTTATTCAAGTCATAAATAAGCTTCCAGTTATGCTAAAATCATAATATAACACAATTTCCATTTTCACAACTTTATTTTTCATATAGAAAATGGCCATAATACTGAGAGTTCTGCAAATACCTTAACTTGCCAAGTTGAAACACAAAATACCTCATACGAATCTCATAACGTACAAACCGGACATGCACAAGGTAAATATTATTTACTTAGAAATATTTGTTATACTTTTGTGCTTTCATATTACTTTATGATGCTTACTTTCTCATTTTTTTTTAATTCACCACAGTTAATTGGACACAATCATGGTATTTTCGACCTCCTACATACACTTGTCATCATTGTGGTGCAATGTTATGGTATGAGGAACGGAACACCAGAACTCTGTATACATCGCAACCAAAATTTTCATTTTGTTGCATGGAGGGGCGTGTTCAAGTGCCATTATTGAAGGAACCACCCGAATACATGCAATATCTCATGAGTGATGCTTCTGGGCAAAAAGGAGTTCAGTTTCAAAAAAAACATCCGAATATAATGCCATTTTTGCGTTCAAGTCAATGGGTGGTCGTATTGATTCATCTATTAATAACTCAAAGGGCCTATATGTGTTCCGTATGAGTGGCCAAAATTATCACCGCATTGGATCTCTGTTGCTAGAGAATGGGTGAAAACCATAATTTGCACAACTTTATATATATGATACTGACAATGAGATTGGTAACAAAATCAATACATTTCAAGACAGCGGTCGAGTATCTATGTTGGACCATGAAATTGTGCACGACTTATCTCAAATGTTGGATTCTCATAACATTCTTGTAAAATGTTTCCGAATGGCGAGAGATAGATTCAAATCATCTCCACACTCTTCATTTCGATTGTGCCGCAAGGGAAACAGAACAACAGATGGTCGTCAATATAATATACCAACTACTTCAGAAGTTGCAGGTTTAATAGTCGGTGATTTTACAAAGTTGAATTGTCATCGTGATATAATTGTTGAGCATCAAACTACAGGTCTTCAAAGAATCACATATTTGCATCCAAGTTTCATGTCAATAACATACCCATTGATATACCCATATGCTGAAGATGGTTATAGAACTAACATTCCTTTAAGAAACTTGTCAAACAATGAATCAAAAAGACAAAAATTGACGATGAAACAATATTATTGTTTTCGTCTTCAACAAAGATTACATGAAGGAAAAAGTCTTCTTCTAGGAGGTAGATTACTTCAACAATATATCGTTGATTCTTACATGGCAATTGAAGAGGAGCGTTTTAGATGGATAATAAATAACCAGACAAAACTCAGAGCCGATCTTTATTCTGGATTAATGGATGTTGTTCATCGTGGTGATTCAGATTGGTCAACGGTGGGGAAATCAATTATCTTACCATCATCACACACCGGAGGACCACACTATAAAGCACAAAACTATCAAGACGCAATGACAATTTGCAAATGGGTTGGGTATCCAGATTTGTTTCTAACTTTTACATGCAATCCTAAATGGCCTGAAATCAAAGACATGCTCCAGAAAATCAGCCAAAAAGATCATGAAAATCGTGCAGATATTGTGTGTCGCGTGTTTGAGATAAAACTCGTCCAACTAATGCAAGACCTAAAGACTGAACAACCATTTGGTCAAATAATCATATGTAAGTCAACACCATACCCAAACTTATTCTAAAACTATTTTACTACTTCAAAATGCGACCATAATTTTATCTTATCATGATTCTCAATTCCATAACCTTTTCACTTATTATATATCGTAGGTTTGTACACAATTGAATTTCAAAAAAGAGGATTGTTGCATGCACATATCTTGCTCTTCTTACATCAGACGACAAAAAATCCTTCGGGTGACCATATCGACAATATAATAACAGCCGAAATTCCTGATCCACATGTTGATCTTGATGCCTACAATGCAGTCAAAAATTTTATGATGCATGGGCCATGTGGAAGTTCAAAACCTAAATGTCCATGTATGGTACAAGGCAGATGTTCAAAGCTTTATCCAAAGAAGTTTGTTGACAAAACCATTATCGATGCCGAGGGATTCCCCATTTACAGAAGAAGGAAAACAAATATAACTATTTGTAAGAAAGATATCTTCTTGGATAATCGTTCAGTGGTCCCATACAATAGAAACTTGTTGGTTAAATTTGATGCACATATTAATGTGGAGCTCTATAATTTCTCCAGAGCTATAAAGTATCTATTCAAATATCTTCATAAAGGATCCGTTAGAGCTATTGCAACAATTGAATCCTCAGACAAAGGTGAAGGGAACGATGAGATCAAAATTTATTTGGACTGCAGATATATATCAGCTGCTGAGGCTTGTTGGATGATCTTTCAGTTTGACATACATTATAGACACCCATCAGTTGAAAGATTGCCATTTCATTTTCTTGACAATCATACCGTCGTTTTTCGTGAAAATAATTGTGTTGAAAACGTTCTATCTATGCCTGGCATGGAGAAGACAAAGTTTACAGAATTGTTTGAAGCAAATAAGAAATATGTGGAGGCACGACAATTAAGTTATTCAGATTTTCCCATACAGTAGGTTTGGATTTCAAACGATAAAGTTTGGACAAAAAGAAAGAAAGGCATTCAATCGGTAGAATTTTTTACGCCTCCCCTTCAAGTAAAGAGCGTTTTTACATGAGGATGTTGCTTAATTATGTCAAAGGATGTACTTCATTTGAGAGTATCTGAACCGTCAACAATGTCACATACCCTTCTTTCCAAGATGTATGTTATGCACTTGGTTTATTGGACGATGATAAAGAATGGATTGATTGTTTGACAGAAGTAGCACTTTGGGCAACTGGCAATGAATTGAGTCATCTATTTGTTACAATGATCATCCATTACCAAGTCTCAATTGCATCACATCTTTGGAAGTCTCACTACACTACATTGTCCGAAGATATTCCTTATCTCCAAAGGAAAACTTTTAGGGCACCGAACATGTATTTAAATGACAAACAAGTGGAAGCATATACCTTGGTTGAAATTGAAACAATAATGTTGAAAATGGGAAGAAGTTTGAAAGATATAGTTGGAATTCCATTGCCGAATTCTACACTGTTGCGAGAATCAAAAAATCGGTTGATTGATGAAGAACTTGATTATGATCGTCATCAATTGAAGAATTTGCATGACCAATCATTTGACACTCTAAATTCTTGTCAAAAAAAGGCATATGAAGAAATTGTTCGTTCTGTGCAATCCCAAAAGGGAGAATTGTTTTTCATTCATGGTCATGGTGGTACCAGGAAAACCTTTCTGTGGAATACAATCATTGCTAAGTTCAGATCAGAAGCAAAAATAGTTTTGCCTGTTGCAACTTTGGGGATTGCAACTTTATGATTGCCTAACGCCAAAACGACACATTCTCGCTTTTATATCCCGATCAATGTCAGAGCATAATCAAGTTGTGAGATTCGACATGGTACAACATTGGCAGAACTTCTCATGAGAACCTCTTTGATCATTTGGGATGAAGCACCAATGGCACATAAATTTTGTTTTGAATCTTTGGACAGATGTTTGCGAGATATATTTAGAACAAGATTTCCCAATAGCAATGAAAAACCTTTTGGTGGACTTATGGTTGTTTGTGGTGGGATTTTCGTCAAATTTTTGAATTCATTTTATTCGCGAGGAGCTGTCATTAAATTCCTCCTGATTTATTAAACGTCTCTAATTCAAAACCGAACATGAAACTTTGGTTTTTTCTCTCAAATAAAAGCCTCATTGGCGCCAAGTGTGATTTCAAATCCAGAGGTTAATCGTACTCTGGCAACTTTATGTAAGGCAGAGTTGTCATCCTCACCTTCCTCCGGCTTATCACCGACAGTCTGTTCAGGGTGTATAATATCTTCACTCTCAATAGTTACATACAAGTCTCTAGACTCATTGATCAATCAAAGAGAGATTCAACAACTAAAAGAAAGATGAATCCATGGGAAGGCAAGAGACTACCTGGCGAACTGAAACATCTTAGTAGCCAAAAGGAACTAAAGGTGATATCATTGATGCTTCTCTCAGTTCATCCTACTTATGGCTATATTTCAATGTTCTTAAGCTTATCCAAAATATGAGGCTATATGCTAGAGAGGTACCAGAATCTGAAGCTTGTAAAATAGATTCTTTTGACAAGTGGTTGCAGCTAGGAGATGGTTCTCTGTACGATGACATTCAAAAAGAGTTAATAAAACTTCCATCTGATATCGCCCTAAACCAATGGGAGGACCCAATTCAATGCATGATTCAATCTGTGTATCCATCGTTGTTGGATAATTTTGACAACCCTGCAAATCTGAAAGAAAGAGCGATTGACACCAAAAAATAAAATGGTTCATGATTTGAACAACATAATTATTTACATGCTACCAGGAGAAGGTGTCAACTACCTCAATTCAGACAATGTGTGCAAAGCAAGTGTACAAACTAATGAAGAAGATCTTTTGTATCCATCAGAATTTTTGCAAAGTTTAAAATTCAATGGTGTCCCAAACCATGACATTAAACTAAAAGAAGGAGCTCCAGTAATGCTTCTTAGAAATCTAAATCAATCAGAGGGGTTATGCAATGGCACAAGATTGATTATTACAAAATTAGGAAAATGGTCCATCAGAGCAGATATTATTTCTGGAACACATGTTGGCAAAAATGTCACAATTCCAAGAATAATCATGTCCCTAAATGAAACAAGATGGCCATTCAAGCTCAATAGGCGTCAGCTTCCTTTGGCAACATGCTTTGCCATGACAATAAATAAAAGTCAAGGACAATCACTACACCATGTTGGCTTGTATCTCCTGAACCAAGTGTTTACCCATGGCCAACTGTATATTGATGTATCACGAGTTACATCACGTGAAGGGTTGGTCATACTAAATGCCGACAATGAGATTGAAGATCGAACCTTCATTAAAAAAATATTGTTTTCAAGGAAGTCTTCCAAACTATTTCTTCAACAACTCATGATCTTCAGGTACGAGATACTCAAGATTTATAGTAACTATTAAATATTGCTTAGCTATAACACTGACACAATATATAAACTAATACTTTTCATTTAATGACTTTTTCTACAAGAAAACGAGTCTGCCATCTAGCAACGGATTTTCAACCATGTCATAAGTTTATTGGATTGTTAATGGTAGAAAGTAATATGTGGCTCTCTCACCAAATAATATACCGAATTGACAATAATTATCTATACATTATACTTCTATTTCTCACATGCAATATATTACACGACTATATTATTCTTATAATAAGACAATCAAAAGCATGAATGTTAGTTTTACATTTACCAAATTGTTAGCTCTCATTTCTTTAATGTAAAAGTATAGAAAAAGTAAACTGCGAGTATTGACAGAAGATGATCTGTCACAGAAGACCACAGATGACCAACAGCAGAAGATGCTCAAGCGTTCAAGTCTCAAGTGACAGAACCTCTGTCGTGTCTCACAGAGGTTCTGTAAACTGGTCCTCTGCATAGACATTGCTTCAAGTCAAAGACGACAGAACCTCTGTCGTGTCTCATAGAGGTTCTGCAGCATGTCTTCTGTATAGATCTTCTTTAAGCTGTTTTACTTAGGTTTACTAGATGCTCGTGCTTATCACGTGTTCTTGTTTGTAACCTGTTAATGATCTAACGGCTTAGATTAATTTGCTTTAGGTCATGTCAGAAAACGGTTATTTGCTTGTATAAATTGTATTTCAGTGAGCTTCAGTATTGTAATTGTTAACATTTTTCATCTATTGAAAATCATTTGAAGTTCTCTCTTGTGTTCATTAATCTTCATTACTGTGTTCTTATTGATTTCTACTTTGGTTGATTCATATCTTTTCCGCTGCATTATCCCTGTCAAACAGATCATCCAAGTAAGTAATTAATACCAAGAAACCGAGTTAATCGATCCTACACAAATGTATTTCGTACCATTTCACAATTTAATAGCATGCTCATTACAAAATATGATCTCTAAACTTCTCACTTATTAATTTCTTAAATCACATACTCCATTACAACCTAAAATTCTTTCA